AATAATTTGTTTCAAAATGAAAAATACACTTTAAAAAAGTATTAAAAGTATAACTTGTATTTCATATATACATAGTTTGATTTAGGTTGTAGACTGCCTTGCAAACTATGTAAAAATTCAACTAAAAAGGTGTAGGTATATTATCTTTAATATCAAATAATAAAAAAAAAGAAAAGTAAATCAGTAAATCCTACATCTTAACACCTGATTTTACGATAGACCGGTGGGGACATTTCAACTTCATGAATTCCTGATTTCAGCTTCATGAATTCTCGATTACAACTTCAAGAATTCACGATTTCAACTTCATGAATTCACGCTTTCAACTTCATGAATTCACGATTTCAACTTCACGAATTCACGATTTCAACTTCATGAATTCACGACGTTGAATTCGTGAAGTTGAAATCGTGAATTAATGAAGTTGAAATCGTGAATTCATGAAGTTAAAATCGTGAATTCATGAAGTTGAATTCGTGAAGTTGAAATCGTGAATTCATGAAGTTGAAATCGTAAATTCGTGAAGTTGAAATGGTGAACTCATGAAGTTGAAATCGTAAATTCATGAAGTTGAAATCGTGAATTCATGAAGTTGAAATCGTGAATTCTTGAAGTTGAAGTCGTGAATTCGTGAAGCTGAATCGTGAAGTCGTGAATTCCGTATTTTGAAAACAGGAATGCACGAAGTTTAAATTGTGAATTCATGAATTCATGAAGTTGTAATCGTGAATTCGTGAAGTTGAAGTCGTGAATTCATGAATCTGAATCGTGAATTCGTGAATTCCGTATTTTGAAAACGGGAATGCACGAAGTTTAAATTGTGAATTCATGAAGATGAAATCGGGAATTCATGAAGTTGAAATGGCCCTACCGGTCTATCGTATGATTTTCATGTATGTAATTTTCAAAATGATTTACTAAATTAATTAGTGTGTTTTATAAAACAAAGCTAATTTCTAAAAGAAAGTTATGATAAAATAAAACAAAATTTAATGAAATTCAATAGATAACTTGCAGACATCGGGACATTAAATCAAGGATTGGTCTTGAGTCAGTGACAAAGTTCGAGCCGTAGACAAAAAGGCGTAACAAAAGGAAAGGACGATAACTTAATGAGATTATAATAAATATATCCCGTATGATTATCGCGCTACAACGGCTCTCGGAAGATCAAGAACGCAACTTATTCGTAATGTTTATATTCAAATACAATTCGGCATATAGGAGGATTTGAACTGAAAACAAATTTTCACATATATGAACGCATGCAAAGGCTGATAGAAAGCATGGCTTTGTAATTAACACCGTAATACAAGTTGATAAGCGAACATCATCGCGGCTAGAAAAATATCTAGAGATCAAAATGATCACATTCATCAAGGACTTCGACTTATTTATTGATTATTCGTTTCGGAGCACGTAAAAATTCAACAACAAAAATAATTCGACATATAAAACTTTGACTAGTAAGCAATACAGGTTTAAATAAAGAAAATAAAGGAGAAAAGTCGGGACTTTTATTTTACTTCGACACATTTCGAAAATCGACTTAAAGATGGGTACTAATTGTGCACCCCTGGTCGCCGATTTGTTTTTGTACTGCTATGAAAGAGACTTTATGTTGAGTCTCTCTGAAGAGAAACAACAAGATGTTATAGTCGCATTTAATAATACTTCCAGATACCTTGATGATATTTTTTAATTTAGATAATCCTTATTTTGATCAAATGGTGTCTGACATTTATCCGCATGAACTACAACTTAATAAAACGAACTCTTGAAATTTTAGTACATCATTTTTGGATCTTCATATTACTATCAACAACAATTCTATTCACACGAAAATTTATGATAAAAGAGATGACTTTGACTTTTGTATAGTTAATTATCCACATTTAGATGGAGACGTACCCCATGCAACATCTTACGGGGTTTATGTTTCTCAGTTAATTAGATTCGCTAGAGCTTGTAGCAACATAAAGGATTTCAACGAGCGGAATATTTTTATTACCAGCAAGCTTCTAAAACAGGGCTACCGCTATCATAAATTACGGAAATATTTTACTAAATTTTACAATCGTAACTTTGATTTAATTTCTAAATTCAATAGTGATTTAACTCTTCTGCGACAAGGGATTAGCCAGCCTGGTTTTTATGGCGATGTGATTTACAAACTTCGTAAGATTTTGGGTCATGGTAATTTTTCTGCTGTTTTTACTAAAATCATTAATCGTTTTATTAAAAGAGGTTATGACCCTACTATTTTAAGACATACTGCATGTTTAGTGTTCAACCCTTTTACAGTTGGACACTACGCTTTCCTCTTTTGATTGCATCTGGCGGACCAAGTGGGAGACTCTATGATGGATAGTTCGTAAAGCCCTTTGGGACTGAATTGTCTTAATGTTCGTCTTCTGCCTTGCTTCGTCGGGCCCTTGTAGGTGATTTTCTTGTTGCTCTGTCTTCCTTTAGGACATTGAGTACTTTTGTTATGGTCATTGGGTTTACTTTTATATGTTTCTACATGATCATTTTAGTGTTTTACTTATTTAACCTTTTGTAACCATGACAACTGTTAGAATTTCACTTGGCGGGGATTCATTTTATTTACACTGTCTCGTTTATAGGAACATGGTGGGGCTAAGAGCGAGGTTTGGTGCACCATTAACCGGTTTAAACTCCCCAGCAGTCATTATTATGCTGCTGACCGTTCCAAGGCGGCGCCCCACTGTGTTCCTCAGATGTATGTCTATGTTGTTTCATACTGTTTTGGTGACACTTTTGCTTGTGTCCCTTGTTGTTTTCTCGTCTACGGTAAGTATCTTCCCCATTGCCTTTAGTTTTTATTTCTTTGATTAACCCCCCCCCCCTTCCCCCGGTCTCCTGTCCCCTTCCCCTTTGTGGGCCTATTATTATTTTCTTTGAATTCCTAATCAGTTACAAATTATTTATCATTTAATGATTAACGTGTCTTTGCCCTGTCCTTTTTATGTTTGGGGTCCGCCTGGGCTCCTTGCCATTGGGTTCTTGTTGCTTGGTCATATGGGGGTTGCGTTCATTGAACGCCGCCTTTCCTTGTTGATCTTGTTTATCATATTTTAAAGAAACTCTTTATATATCATCTGTATTTTTTGATCGTCATTTTCTTTTGTTTGTACTAGAATTCTTTCCGAAACGAATATCTAAAATTTGGTGTCATTTAGAAGAACATTTGTTTTCAACAGCGTATTTGTTAATAATTATACAGATGAAGTAAATCTTATAAGTTTCTCTTTTTTTTACTTTCAAAAGTTTGTTGACACAAACGAATAAAAATGTTAAGACATTATATTCACAATACTGTTTCATGACTTCAACAAACACAAATAGTTGCGTTTCAGACTTACAATCAACAATTACATGTCGTATAAAACAGAAATCAACTTAAGATAAATGTACACTTTTATTGGACTAGGAAAATATCTTGACTCAATTATTATACCAGGGTCATATTAAATAGAGAAAATAAGAATCCCTAAAGAATGTACAAAACAGCAAAATTAAAAATGATAATACCGGAACATCTTGTCTTTATCTCAGAATAATATAATTGGAACTTAGAATTCTACTTCGCCAAAGAAACGCTTTTCCAAAGGCAAGTGTTAAAGTTTACAAAAGCAATGATCTTTAAGTTGAAGGACAAGACAAATTAGTTTGAGCGTTTATATGACCAATTTTATCGCTTTTAATGAATAACTTTATTTATTAGATGGATAATAATGATCATTGTATTTGTACATCAAAAACGATAACGATATAAATGTTACATTTTGTCAATAAATGCATAGAAGGATCTTAACGGAAACATATTTAACTACATTAATTAAGATGGTTAATATATTTTAATATACGGATATATTAACGCATGTTTAATTAATATTATAGGAAAGCTCCCGTTATAGATAAACCGTCTAATATGTGCAGTTAAATTCTGGTTACTCTCAAAAACATGAAGGCAAAATAAATCGAACTTGTGAAATAATATATATTACATTATTCTTAATGTTTCTGTTCAATCCAATCGAATGACTTCATAATGATTTTAAGCATAGGCTGAAAAAACACTGTTTTTTTTCAGCATATGCTTAAAATTAATATGAAGTGATCACCTTAAAAGTGTCGAAATGGTCTGAAAGTGGTTAATTGGGGCTCGAGACTACATGTAGTAAATTTGAATATAAAGCTGCCGGAAAACAATGAAACAAAATAAATACACAGAAATTACAGACTTTGTTTTATTGACTTTGATGATGAGATATAGATAATAATAGTTATTAATAATCATAAAAAGTGCTACTTAAATCAATATTAAGTTTTTATTAGTCAAATTATAGTATGTTTAGTATAAAGGAATGAATGTTTTTAGTAGTAAGTATAATGCTGTATCACAAAACATATATAACCATAGCAACATATTTTCTTTACTTGGAAAAGTTATTGGATTTATTTCTTTAAATGATAATTGATTAATTGTACAATTGCACAACCTATAAAGTCAGACCTTTTGAAAACACAATACCGCTAAATTGAAAGGGATATTGCAATGAAAACATACAAAGTTTCTTCATTACGAACTGTAACGTTCTAATCAATCAGTGAATCTGCTTCAATCTACATCAGCCGTTTGTCTCTCGTCTGTCAAATTAATTTTACCCAAGGGTGAAATATATAAATTGTTTCTAGAATGAATAGGCACCGTGTGATACTATTCAATAATAGAGACAAACTTGAATGGTGTAACTGCAGTTTTTTTTCTCGAATAAACAAAATGATTGTTTCTTTGATAAAGTCATGTCTGACATGTCTGTCCTTAGGAATAAATGGCTATTGGCAATTATACACAGAAAGGAATGTATCACTTAAATCATTTTATATGATATTGCTTTTGAATTGCTGGTAATGGCTGAGTAATATAAAATGTCGTAAAGAAAGTCGTAAATGAGACTTTTCGTTATGTAAGTTTTCATATCATGAATTAAGGTAAACGTAATAAACAAAATAAATCATTTTTGACTGTATGTTTATCCTAATGTTAATTCTTCTTTAATCAAGTTTTAAATTGACTCAGTGTACCATTTTGACTGGTCATTGTATTACAGTGTTTTACAGATATTAAATGAATAACGTATTTATGCAAAGAAATGGCATAAAGATATTTAAAATTGTACCTTCTTAAAATATACAACCGACTAGGTATATTAAACTTATCTCGTAGAAGTGCTTTTAATTTAAAATACAAGAAAGATTATAACCGTGAGACAAAAATATGTCAATACAAATGACTTGGCTACTGTAATTGTCAAAGTACTTGACATTAGATAAAATTTAGTAAACACCACATCAATTTACTCTGATATTTGATCACCTATAATAATTGTGAAGTATCTGAAAGATATATACACCAGTAAAGAATGTTAAATGCAAAGAACACTACAGGGAAAATAATTCTAGACAATTTATCAATCCGACTAACACTGTTCAGTCCTAAAACATTGCCCAGCATGCTTGTATGAGGCACATTTTTCGTTCCGAAGAAACAGTTCCAACACTTAAATAAAGCCGTCTCTCTTGGTTTACCATTTTTAATCAATATCTGTCGTTTATGTCCGTTTTCTTTCGCTACATCATTACTCCTTTGTGCTTCTTCACCAGCCTATATCAATAAATAAAATTTTTCGATCTCACAATTTAAGCATACTTAAAAGGAAAGATTCGGTCGGTATATATATTACTAAACAAAGTGTTCTGAAAAAAAATGTACTATTCTTTGTAAATGCTGCGAATGTTACTGTACATTGTCTTACATTAAAATCATCTAACATGGACAGTAAGTGTACTCTTACTCATCATTTAATGATACATGCTATCTGAGAGACTATTATTCCTAACGGGTACATTTGTATATTTTGTGTACCATATTATTCACCTTATATTTCTAAACAAGGGAAGTATTATTTTGATTGTTTATATGCTAAATCAACCAAATGTTTGTGTTGGTTTGCAACTTAGAATTGAAAAGTAATGATAAATTTGAATCTATATTATATAATAAGAATACCTGCTCTTCAAGTATTTCCTCAAGTTCCACCTCTTTAGCAATATACCTGGCCAGCTGAGGACCTTCACCACATCCGAACTTTGTGTAATAATGGACGGCAGCAAATTGTATGATTGTAGCAAGTACAAACACAAAACATATAGCGACATAGATATCGAGTGCTGTCGAGTAGGACACCCGGGGAAGGTCGTTACGATTGTCCAAACCTATAAACGTCATCGTGAGCACTGTCATTGTACCTTCGTGAAAAAATATATCATTAGATAGATCCGATAATTATACATGCCTGGGACAGGTGTATGATTCTTTTCTTCTTCTTCTATTTATGATATTAAATTGTTACGTTAACAATATTATACTTGAAATAAACTTATAGCTAGAAAACGGAAACAATGCTTAAATCTTAGTAAACTTTGAAAATGTTCTCAAAACAAAGTAAATGAATCAATATCTGAATGAAAGTATTTATGAGTCTTGCAAGCTAAATTACTCCTAAAACAAAGCAAAAGGGACGAAAACGGTGCAAAACACTTCTTACCAAGAGCAATTCTGTCGGATGTTGCCTCTCTGTTTATCCAGAAAGAAACCCAAGATAGTACAACAAGAAGGCAGCATGGCACATATACATTGATAAGAAAAAACCCCATATGACGTCTGAGATAAAAATGTATTGACAAAACCGAATGCGGAGCTGTAATAAAAAGGTTACATATATTACATCAGTTTTTTTTTGTTTTTTTTTTTTGTTTTTTTTTTTTTTTTGGGGGGGGGGGGGTTGGACAATTTCGATGTAGTTTAACCGAAGACCAAAGTTGTTAGAAACATAACATAAATTTGTCGTCATACCGTTTATTTTATCAATAGAAAATCATGACGACAAAATCATTGTTTATATTCAGATTTTCTCCATAAACTTAGTCGGAGAAGTGAATGTTCATCGCGATACACAAAATCTTATAAGGTATGTAGTATTTTTTTTTTAATGAATTTTACGTAGACATTACAAGATCCACAGTCTTACCTCCTCGAAGAATTGAGGTCGAATTAAAGCATGGTGCTTGCAGTAAATCAAATTGTGACAAAGTCATATCTGCTGCTATCTCAACTGAGTTGTGGCGACCAAATCTCCACTCGTATATAACATCATCTATAGTATAGGCGACTAAAGAAATAAAAAAACACAATACTAAATATGTTGCTAACAGAATATTGATAACAAACAGAAGTAAAATTCACGATGAATGGAATTGGTTGTTGTGCCTCTATCTACATACACTTTGCACAACATAACAACGAATGCTTAAATTACCCTACAGCTGAAACGTCGCCTCCTTCAATCCAACAGATCAAAACATTTGAATGAATACCAGATTTTAGAAAAATAAGAGATTGTTTTATTTTAATAAGGAAGTGTCACACAAACTAAGTTTTTTTAAAAAAAAAAGATTACAATTAAAAAAATATTTCTTACAATTTTCTACAATATATCCCAATTTTTTCAAGAAATCAGAAAAAAATATCAAAATGCACAGCATGATACAAAAGTATTTTATTTTATTAACGGAAAGATTAGCCACGACTTACAGCTTCCAACAAGGAGTTGACACTTTTGTGAATCTAGAGGGTACTTCTCAAGGCGCATTTTACATGTTGCTTTTATTGTCAATCTGAAAAGTTCAAAAAAGTTCAAAAATATTATGAAAAATGAAATATTCTTCTTTTTTTAATTGTAAATAAGGCTTTATTGAGTATGGAAATTATACATAAACAATACAAAATCCGTGCTTTTACAACATTGAAATGTTCAGGTTATATAAAATTATAACAACACAACATCGTTATTGAAAAGGGGGATTTACAAGACATGTAAAACAAGTTTAAGAATTGTACTTTTACGTCACTTCATATTGCAGACACAATTACTTGATTCTTACCTTTGGGAGTACAACACAGAGCCGTCTTTGTTAATACGAAAGAATTTGTTTGGCATTGGCACCATGTGGACAAACGATTTCCCGCCATTTAGAAATACCGTATCAGGATACCAAAGACGCTCTAAGACTTTGATATTTAATGAAATATTGGGAAGTGAAACATTCAATGCAAGTCTCTCGTCTATCCAGAGTTGTCGGAAATAACAATCCATCGAGTAATCCTGCAAGAATTATTGGATTACATTACATGTATGACCAGTTTGAATGACACTCTTTACATCTCGAAACATAGATAAATGGTGTAGCAACGGTAGCAAAGTCTCACATTTTCTAACGACATGTAATAAAATTAAAATTTATATCATATACCGCAGAATCGTGGTAATAGGATTTATGAATTGTCTGTGATGTTGAAAATAATATACGTTTGCCTGTACAATGACTGAGATACAAAAATTCAAGTATGATTCATTTTGAATCAGTTTCACTCCGGATCATGTTATAAACAAACTTACTTACTTTCCCTTTTAAAGTTAAAGTTGTGTAAAGGTAAAGATTAGTTGGTAGATTTGCATGTTGCTAAAGATCTTATTCCGAATAAGTTTAACGGTTAAGATTAGACGAAAAACATCTAAAGAATTTGTTCTGGCGAAACAAACCAGACTAATCATTTAAAACATAATCCATGACTGATATATCTTATCCATCAGGGTAATTGATATAGGTACCTATAAATAGAATGTGTCTTATGCAAGACATTACACTTGCTATTCTATATTCTTAACTCAGGTTACGATAGATTATAGCCAACTTTCAAACAGACTTCCTTTCTTTGGTGAAAATTCACAAGTGTTTTTATAAATGTAAAATTAAAGACAAATTCATAACTTGAGTTTTTTATATATTTCAAAGTGTAAATGACGTTAATGATAAAAAGTGGTGTATATCCGTAAAGCTAGTAATTATGTTGTTTTTGTGAGATAATTAGAATTTCAGTAATATTCTGAAAAACTAGTTTATATCATAAACACGTTGATAAGTATGTAAAAACGAGTTGTTATAATTAATTATATTAATTATATTCATGCACCATACTCTTTTTTTAATATTTTAAAGAAATATTTTAATACGATTTATATATAAAAATATGGGCTAAGTTTAATTTGTATCCGGTAGCTTATGTAAATTTCTAGACATTTGTCCACGAACATCTGTATATCCGCTATAATTCATGTAAGATAACCAATCTGACTTAAGTTCGGATCTGATGACCCCCGTATATGCTTCACCTTCTTCATAATTCGGATTTCCCGAGAACGCTATTTTAAGCCATACAATCAAACCGGTTTTTACAGATAGGCATCAAATACTGTTATCCGTAGAAGTTAAACAAATTATTGATTTTTGTAATTAAAAAATGTTTTAAGTAATTTTTAACAAATAATAGAGTCATTTTTTTAATGGGAAAGATTTTTTGCCAGTTTACCTGTCGTTGATGTGGACATGTTTGTTCTCGTAATCGTAATTATTACCTACTCAGTATGGTTTTGCAAGTGTTAATATTAGAAACCGCATCACTTTCACAATATTAAAAGCTCGTCAATGGTTGGTTGGTTTTTTGAAAGACAATGAAAAGGTGACTTCCTATGAGTGGATGTCAGATCCGAATGAATAGCGTTATTCGAGATTTAATCAGATAGATAACATATTAAACAAGAAACTTTTAAAACTCACCATACTCCTCTCACTTACAGGACCCATTGAACGAACTAGAATATCTGTTTTAATTATCAACGGCTTCTCTGGAAATTAAAATAATAATGAACAAGCTTTCGCGTGATTAATAAGTTCTATAAATTATCATTGTATGCTTATTAATTCAAGCAGAAATTCGGTTAAATTCCATCCTTAAGTTATACAAGTTGAAAAATATCGTATCTCCCACACAATTGAAAGGAATAGTGAGAGAAGAAAGAAGAGACTGTAAAGTAAATGTTAATATTTTAATGCATATGTTTGTACTCCCTAAACTTTTAAATTAAGCTAGGCAAGTGGAAGATCACCTCAGGCACCCATCCTTGCATTATTTCAGGGGCAAACAGGCACAATATCAGAACCATCTTGGCGGGAGTTGAGCCCACAGCGGTGAGGGTTAAGGGTTTCGAAGTCAAAGACATTTACATGGACGCCTCTTAGTTTATAATAAACTGTTTGAACTGAAAGGGACTCCACTGAGGTTAAAAAGCCTAAAAACATAACATTAGAATTTCTTACATAAATGAACTAGGGCGCTATAAACAGAAATATATGCAAAGATAGTTAAGAAATATACTTTAAAATAAATCGAAAATCGTAGTTTTATGCTTTTCTTAGCCTAATTTGAGTGAAAAGCGTTCAAACGCTTTTCATTTTGGGTCATTCTTTTACAATTTGAATAATTATTATGGAAAAACGAAGTGCGCGAATGATCTAAAAGTTTGCACAAAGATTCGTGGTCTACACCTACATCAAATGGTACATTTATCTGGAAAAAAATATTTTCTGTCCCATCATGTCAGAAAACCTCAGTGGAGTTCTTGAAAGTAACATGATTTTATAAGAAAGTCTTACCGCCGTACCCTGGTCTCAGTCTCCTGTCGTAGCCATGCAGTAACCTATCAAGCTCGAGGCTAATATTTTCATGTTTTAGGTACGTAGAGCTCGATACCAGCAGAGCATGTAAACTATAAACATAAAAAGATAACAAGATGTAAAAATATTACATGATACTATACATTACCAAACCTGAATAAATTTTATAAAGTTATTGTAACATGCTCATTGACACTACATCAAAACTATTTTAATTGAAGTATGCATCTAAAATATAGTATTTAATAGAAAGCGAAAGGTATCGGATTGTTATAACTTCAGCATGGAAGTGTACAGTTTTGTCCTATTTGACTAAACATATGATTTGTTATGTAGAATGAAAAAAGATCCGGTGCAAAATCAAAAATCTGCCAGTTATAGGTTTGTTTTTATATGAACCTTTGCAATTAGAAATATTTTTTTTAAAAAAAAAGGAAATAAATTGTGTTGTCTTGTATATCGGATACTTTCGTCGTGTAACGTATTTTGATACCTTTGGCTTAGCTATTGTAGGGCTTCGTTCTTTAAACAAGACTCTCCCTCGTTAACTTTTACTTTTGTCGCTTTTAGATTGGACACATTTTAAGTTCAGAAATGTAACAAATAATTAAATGGATAACATATAAAATGTACAGCGCAATCAAATTAAAATGTCAATTCAACAAATATGTTCGACAATGTGTCGTCTATGTCTACATTTATAAACAATGTTTAGGTCTTACATATTAATACTTTAAGTATTGTATAGACATGATGTCTGAAAAATTGAAATATATACTACATAAATATTCTAAATTGACATTCAAGACTACTGTAATTTTGTAAATGATCGCCAAATAAAATGATTGAATAGTCACAAATTAAATGATTTGACTAGTTAAAAAATAGATTCAAAATATATTTTAATTTGGTAGATGACGGAAAATTAATATTATCTTTACAAAGCTGCTGTAAAAAAGATAAATTCAAAGTACATGGTTAATAATCTTGTTCTTTGATAACTAAACTTAAATCACAGTTCCCATGTATTAAAAATGTGTAGGAATTGTCATCCCTCGCAATATTATATAATATTCTGGGGACCGAAGGAGGGGCACGATAGTATCATATTGTTGGTACATGGACACCAGTGTATTAAAGTCTGTGTATAGCACTTAATTCTTACGCCAACAAAATTATATAGGTCATGCTGCAATTTGCTTAATGAACGATACATTGCATAAACCACTGCCATCCACAAACAGGCTCATTAGAAAGGACTTTGCAAAATGTTTTATATCATCGTGATTGGCGGCTTCAATTTTTATTTTCTCACTATCAATTGCTCAGAAATACACTGCATTCCATCCATAAATATTACAAGGGGTCCAAATAATTATGCAGAGGTTTGCTTAATACTTGCTTAAAACTTGTATATGTACTAAACATATTCATGGATAAATTATTTTGGACCCATAAAAGATGTTCTTCAAATATTTATATTTTTCTGTAAATTATTAACACAATTATTTATAATATCAAAACACACGTTTTTATTAGGCCTAATCAAGAAACGTTTTTATCACTGATGAAGTAAGTTGCAGCCATCATTATGCCTTTTATGAAATCAAATTTAGTGTTGTGTGACAATCTGCACTCGTCCATTATATCCATAAATGTGTTGTTTTTTTTTTTTTTGTTTTTTTTTTAAATAAAATGATGAATTCCAAGTAAGCGATATCTTTTTCTATAATGTTTAAATTTTATATGTTTAATATTTGTGTAAAAAAACATCTCTGCCTGTGCCACTTTATTGTTGTTTAATATTTCAATATTTTGAGAAAAAAAATGTTTCAAGAGATGAAAACTACTGGAAGGACGAATGTAAGCTGTATTTACGACTTTGATAAAAACAATTATAAAACCAAAAAAACGACTGAAATGTTCGATTTGCTTGTTCTCGTTCTCTTGTTATAGATTGTAGATGAAAAAACACTGTTATCTCATGTATTTAACTTCGACAGTTTTCTATTAACCTGATGAACGTCAGACACAACTGCAAGAACAATTAAATATAAAGCTAACGCTTCCAATATTTGATAATCCCCAGGCATCTGGAATTAAATAATGCCATAAGCAGCTTCCTTCAAGATATTCAATAATAAACAAACTGGATGTTTTTTTATCGCAAACAGACCAGCATTTACAAAATTAGAACCACCTTATATTTGATATATATTTTCAAACATATTTTTGTCTTAGTTACAAACACTTTAAATTGATTTGTCAAATCAATCATATTCAGACCCAGAAAGATACATATATATAAGACAAATGTATAAATATATGTGGCAATAAAACAATGACAACAACATCATACGTAGATATCAAATGAAATCGCTTGAAGTACACTGGTTAATGAAACGATAATTGAAAACGCCAAAAATAAATATTGCATACCAAAATATTCAAACACAACTTGATAGCTTTTGTTAGACAGTTTTATGTTAATTAATATTTGTTTGTTTGCAAAGTTTGACGTACGTTGATTTAGCTTTCTTAAAGGTCAGTGTTTGTTGGTCAATCAATATCAAGATTTATCATTGTTTACATACAAAGTACCTAAAATGAACAGAAAAAATCCATGCATACGTTTCTATTTTAAATATGCCGAACGCTTAAAATCAACTATAAATATACATTTGAAATATATCTTGATGAATTACTTTTCAGTTCATTCAATAAATAAATATTGGAGAGAGATTCTAAAATAGTGTCAATCTTTCTACTTAATTATTTTGTATATTTGAGTGTATTTACTTTGTTTGAATATAAATGATTTAAATAAAATATTGTTAAAACTCAATAAATATCGCTAACAGTAGTACGATGTAACAAATGCTCATTTATACAACATTATTTTTGTAGAATTAATTTAATGGATGTGGTCATGCTGTCCAATTTGTTTTAGTAATTGGACAAGAGTTATAGTGTCATTGTCAAGTCTCTTGTGACAAAAGAAGTGGAAAGATATGTTAAATTGCTTTATAACCTTGAACACAAACTGTGTCAATGATATTATGTTGAATGAACATAACAAAACGTCTTAAAAACTGGAGAAAGGGTGTTACCTCGGAAGCATTAATCACAACAAAATTACATCACTCACGCCCCTAACACCGGCTTGAGTGGTATTCAATTTTCAACAGTTAACAGTGCTGATATTAATGATCCAGAAAGACCAGAAAAATACAAAACATTGAAGTGAAGTACATGAGCTGCAACACGGTACTTGACCCCTGTTGTTGTGATGTATAAAGATGGAAAAGGGGTGATCCCAGGGAAGCATTAATCAAAACACAATAACATGGAAATTGCAGATTTGGTTTGATACAGCACAGTGTATTGTCTATTAGCGAATATTTTATTTTGTTAAAATAATAAAATACAGTTTCATTGAGTCCTTGATAGTACTCATTGGAATGTCTTGATAACATGAGACGAAAACTAGAAAGAAAAAAAACAACAGAAAATACATGTATAACTTGTTCTTTTCATTAATTGTAAAGTTTCTACATTTCTACATATTCAAAGTTTTACCATTCTAAAGGCATATATCTACAAGAAATAAATATCGTACCTTAAATATGATATCTAGATATCTAATTCTGTTTCATCTAATATTTTATATTGTTCTATATCAAATACCAACATCCAATAGATCACGTTTTGTTGTTGTTGTTTCTTCTTGTTGTTGTTGTTGTTTGTTTGTTTTGTGTTGTTTTTCTTTTCAATATAATTTGGATATATATTTAAAAAATAATCTAAAATTTAAAAGGTACCGAAAATATTTGGACTCATTAATTCTATATTAAACATTTCATCGTGAAATAGCCTACAAATATATATATATAATTGGCGCATCTGGTACACTGCAGACTTCCCTTTAACCCTTTAATTTAGCATCTAGCTTGTATAAAAAGAATAAAGCTCACTACAGTATTAAACCAATCACAAATAATATTGCATGATCAAATAATAATGGCTTGGTCACAATCAGTTTGATACAAGTGTAGGAAGTTATAGAAACACATTCAACATCGAATTGAAAGCCGATACTTTAACACTCTCAGAATGTTCCGAACATGTGACTGATAGTAAGTCAAAATTGGAATCTTAAGAAATAT